TGTTTCTTTGTACTTTTTTCTTTCTTTGAAACAATGTAAGCTTTCGATGTGGCCGATGTGCCTTCTTTTGAATGTAAATACAACTTCTTCTTTTGAATGCTTGTATGTTTGTCTTCCCTTTACTGTTTTTGTATGACTCTTATACTTAGAATATTTTGCATATCTTCAATGTACACCTTAACTGTGTAATCTTCTCGGGGTGAAATACCTCGGTTATACCCATGAACAGTTTACATCGGCAAGTACATAAGTACTTATTTTAATACAACCTTGTCCTTAACTTATAAATTTTTCACAAATTTCAGCAAGTGTTTAGACTGATTTAGCTAACTTGTAAATTTTTCACAAATTTCAACAAGTGTTTAGTTCAACTTCGAGTTGTAAATTTTTTACAAATTTCAACAAGTGTTAAACGTGATCTCGGTTTAACTTCAACTTGTAAATTTTTCACAAATTTCAACAAGTGTTAGACATAACCTTAGTTTTAACTTCAACTTGTAAATTTTTTCTCAAATTTCAACAAGCGTTAAACATGATCTCGGTCTAACTTCAACTTGTAAAGTTTTTCTCAAATTTCAACAAGTGTTAGATTCATTTTCCAACTTTCTGCCCCCTGATGTGAACTTAAGTTTCACTTGGGTTCTCATTATGCATGTATCCAGAAACGTCGTCAACTATCTTTTCAGTCATAAGTGTAAAAAATCAAGCTAAAACTTTATTTATTACTTCGGTAAATAACAAAGAATAAGAAAGTCTAATGATAAAAGAATTTGAGATTGCGAGTATTCCAGGGCCTTGGCAACTCTTTGCCTTCATTATCTTTAAGCCGATATGCCCCATTGCCCAATACCGATATGATTCTATAGGGTCCCTCCCAATTCGGGCCAAGCTTGCCCTCTCTGGGATCCTTTTTATTGACGAGGTCACCGACTTAAAACTCCCTTGGGTTGACCTTCTTGTTATAAGCCCTGGCAAGCTGCTGCTGGTATTCTGCCAGCTAAATTACAGCTCCCTTCCATCTTTCTTCTAGCAGATCCAGATCTCAGGCTAATAATACATCGTTAGTCCCATTCTCTACTCCCTGGGTTCTGATTCCTGGGATCTCGACTTCTAGAGGAATGGCTGCTTCTGTGCCGTAAGTCATGGCAAATGGGGATTCCCCAGTTGATCTTCTCGGCGTAGTCCGATATGCCCAAAGTACATTTAGCAGTTTATCCACCCACTTTCCCCTTGCTGCTTGCAGCCTCTTCTTAATCCCATCCAAGATGACTTTGTTGGATACTTCTACTTATCTATTTTTTTGAGGAAAACTTGGGGTGGAGAAATAATTCTTGATTTTGAACTTTGCACAGAAGCTCTTGATTAGCTTACTGTCAAACTATGTTCCATTGTCTGCAACTAGCGCTTTTGAGATTCCAAACCTGGTGATGATGTTCTTCCATATGAAGTTCTTTACATCCACGTCTCGAATCTTGGCAAGGGGTTCAGCTTCTATCCACTTGGTGAAGTCATCTGTTACCAGCAGATACTTCATTTGCCCAGTTGCTTAAGGCAGTTTTTCAACGAGATCTATGCCCCATAGGGCAAACAACCAAGGACTGGACACTGGGTTTAGGTCTGCTGCTGGTTGGTGTATTAGAGGTGCGAACCTTTGACATTTTTCACACTTCTTGACATAGGCTTCTGCATCTTTCTGCATGTAGGGCCACCAATACCCCTGGGTAATGGCCCTATGAGCAAGTGATCTGCCCCCAGCGTGGCTTCCACATATTCCTTCATGTATTTCATACAAAAAATCTTCAACTTGTGAAGGATGTACACACCTCAAAAGGGGTCTAGTGAAGGATCTACTGTCAGACTGAATCTTGCCGATTTTAATCTGATCTTGTGTGCCTCTTTGTGATCATCTGGCAGTTTTCCTTCTTTCAGGAATGTTATTATTGCGTCCATCCAGCTTGGTCCCATGTCCACACACATTGCTTCATGCTCTATGGTCAGTGGTTTGATGCTCGGGCCTGACAAGTAGTCGACCATTATTGTCCTTGCCTTTCCAGGTTGTATTGCACTAGCCAGGTTAACCAGGGCATCGGCGTGAATGTTATCATCTCGGCTAACTTGCTGTAGCCGGTAATTCTGAAACAAGGCCACCAACCTGCCTACTTCTTTCGCGTATGCCGACATACGTTTATCTCGAGTTACGAACTCGTCTGTTGTCTGGTTGACTATAAGCTGAGAGTCACAAAAGACTATCACCTCATCTGCTTTTACTGCTACTGCCAGTTTTAGTCCTGCAACCAATGTTTCATACTCTGCCTCATTGTTTGAGGCCTTGAACCCCAAACGAATGGATTGTTCTAGTATCTGTCCATCTGGAGATACCAATACTACTCTTGCCCCCGCTCCTTGTGGGTTTGAACTCCCATCAACAAACAATCGAAAGGAGTCGCCGATGTAAATGCTGCAGGGCCTGAGTTTTTCTTTTTTCCTCTGTTCTATTGCCTTCGGCTGGGCTCCTCTTTGCTCGCTTGGACATCGTTCACCTCGGCTCAACGGAGCCCGATGTAGGATGGCTCCTGAAGTGAATTCGGCCACAAAGTCGGCCAAGACTTGGCCTTTGATTGCTGTTCTGGGTATCTATTCTAGGTCATACTGGCCCAAGGTCACTTCCCATCTAGCTATTCTGCCTGTCAGATCTCCCTGCTGCAACAGGGACTTCAAAGGATATGCAGTTAGCACCACAATTTTGTGGGCTTGAAAGTAATGGTTCAGTTTTTTTGAAGCCATTACTAGGGCCAACGTTAACTTCTCCAAGGGTAAATACCTAGTTTCTGCATCAGCCAGGGTTTTGCTTACATAGTAAACAACCCTTTTTTTCCCTTTTTCTTCTCGGATTACCACTGCGCTTATCGCATGTTCCGAAACTGCTAAGTATAGGAACAACTCCTCTCTAGGTTCCGAATTTGAGAGAACTAGAGTCGTGGTCAAATACTTCTTCAAGTCGGCCAGGGCGACTTCATATTCTTCTGTCCATAAAAAGTCTGTGGCCTTATTCACTAAGCTGAAGAAATGTTTGCATTTGTCAGAACTTCTACTTATGAACCGAGTAAGGGCTGCAGCTCTTCCAGTCAACATCTGTACTTGCTTCACCGATGTTGGGCTTTTCAGTTCTAGGATGGCCTTGATCTGATCTGGGCTGGCCTCAATGCCCCTTCTGGTCACCAAGTACCCCAAGAACTTACCAGATCCAACTCCAAATGCGCACTTTAATGTATTGAGTTGGAGTCGATATGTTTTCAGGATGTCAAAGACTGCCTTCAAGTCTTCCAGATGGTCCTTAGTTTCTCTGGTCTTCACAACCATGTCATCGATGTATACTTCTACTGTTCGGCTAATTAGGTGTTTGAACATCTTAGTTACCAATCTCTGGTAAGTTGCTCCTGCATTTTTTAACCCAAAATGCATCATTCTGTAATAATGCAGTCCTTTCGGGGTGATAAACGCAGTTTTCTCTTCGTCTGGGGGGTACATGGCTATCTGATGATACCCCCTGTAGGCATCTAGAAGCTCATCCTCCCATGCCCTGATGTGGTATCCACCAGTTGGTCAATCTTGGGTAAAGCAAAACTGTCTTTGGGACAGGCCTTGTTTAGGCTGGTAAAGTCCACACAGACCCTCAATTTGCCATTCTTTTTCTTCACCACCACTGTATTCGATAGCCATGTCGGGTAATTTATCTCTTGAATGGCTCCGGCCTCCAGATGCCTGTCTACTTCCTCTTCTATTGCCTCAACATGCATCAATGTCGGTCTTCTTGCCCGTTGGATTACGGGTTTGGCCGACTTGTCTACGTTCAGTTTGTGGCAAGTGACCTCGGGGTCAATGCCTGGCATTTCGTAAGGCGTTCAGGCAAACACTTCAATGTTTGCTCTCGAGAAAGCCTCCAGCTCTTTTTCCTTTTCTTCGGCTAAGCTCAAACCGAGAAGAAATAAGCGTTTTTCATCCCCCTATTGGATAAGGATTTTCTTTAGGGCTTCTTCACTCTTCCTGGCTGGCTCCTTGTCGACGTCCTCTAGGACTTCCACATCCTCGTCTTCGATCTCTGCCCTTTCTGGTTCGCGTATGCTGCAGGCGGATTTCATCGCTGCCATGGAGTAGTACTTTGTTTGTAGCTGATCCCCTTTGACCTCCTCTATCCCATGTTCTGTTGGGAACTGCAATAATTGATGCAATGTTGAGGAAATAGCCCCCATTACATGCAACCATGGCCTTCCCAAGATAATGTTGTATGGGGAGGGTGTGTCAATTATGGTGAACTCTGTCTTTACCTTCCTGGTGCCAGCCTGCACCTCCAAGCTTGATGCTCCCAGTGGCCACGTCGTCCATTAAACCGACCATTGGGCCATTGGATTATTCCATATCGTCCGGGTGAAGGCCAAGCTCCTTGTAACACTTGACATACATGATGTCACAAGAGTTGCCTTGGTCGATTAGGATGCGCTTCACTTGGCACTCCCCAACCTGGAGGGATACTACCAAGGCATCGTTGTACGGATGTTGGACCATCTCCAGGTCGGCTTCGGTAAAGGACACCATTAGTCCTTGGCACTCCTCTGCCCGAGGTCTTTTCTGCCTGACCTGGTACACATGCTGCAAGTGCTTTACCTTCTGGGCCTCCCTCCGTATTTCGTTTTCGTTGACCTTCGAGTGAATTACATTAATTACCCGAGGTCTGCCTGCCTGCAGCTGCTGTGCTGGGGGAGGTGGAGCTGCAGGTGCCTGAGGAAGTCTTGCTTGCTCTTCCCTTGTCCTGACCTTATCTACAAGGTCCCTCAAATGGCCCTGCCTTAGCAGGTCTAGTTTACAAGGCAAAACGTCTATTTCACATCACCTAGCACAAATAAAAAAACATATTCAAACTAGCCCATCGTTATTGCTCATACCCGCATTAGACACAAGAGTGAGACTTAAGAAACAATTAAAAAGAAAAGGGATCTAAATACCTTATTTCTTTGGATGGCTACATTCCATGTATCTCATAAAACCTGTTTTCAAGAGAGTTTTCATTATTACAAAAAAAAATAAAGTAAAATAAATAAATAAACACCACAATAACAACTATCATTATTTGTATTTGTCAAATTTATACCAAGAACAAATAACGAGCAACCTTTGAGCCAAAAGATCATGATAATGCAAGACAAGCCCAAGTGAACTTTAGATTATGTAAATTGTTATTAAGATCCTAGTTTTTGTTTAGTGTGTTCTGCTTGTCATGCATTTTTTAGTTTAAGCCACATTTATAGTCTTCAAGAAATGATATTAGAGTCTTATAATTCATTGTTGACAAGAAGTCATAGAAGCAACATTGTTATTCTATTCTAGTAAGTTATTTATAATAAAAAATAAAAATCTCTTAGGGTCTCATCAAGCCTCAGCAACATTATCTTTTTTTTTTCTTTTTTTCTTTTTTTTTTCTCTTCAATCTATTGTGTGTACCAAACAAGCCATCATGTGTTTTAGTCACTTTCTTCACTCTACCAAAGCCCAACTGCCAGTATCTCAAATCTTTTAAGTACTCGACTTTTTATCCTCTAGTTCATTAATTCTACTAGATCAATGAGCATTGAATGATAAATAGCAATTACTAACATAAAAGACTAATAATAATCCAAGTAGAAATTGATTGAAAAGAAAAAAAGTCGAAACAACAAAAACAGAGGACAAACAAAAAAATGGGCAAGAGAGCACAAGGGAACATACCAATCGCAAAACAGACACCCAATACAACCTCCAACTCCCAACGAGACTATCTTCCTGGTTGCCATACAATTGTAATGAAGAATATTAACGAAAAACTAATGGTATGTTGGATCAGGGATTTGTAGAGGGAAAATACAGTGAAATAATAATAATAATAATAATAATAATAATATTAGCATGTTTTTACTTTATATTTTCTTTTTTCTTCTCCTTTCTCTTTACAAATCAATGAAAAATGTTACAACCAAATAAAAGACATAGATCACAATGTAAAAACATATGAAAAAAAGTACCTCCATCGTTGATATCATCAGTTCTGCAAACAAACACCACATGGAAAAATTCGATTTAATGTTAGAAAACAAGTTTCAAACAAAACTAATCTGAATATATAATCAATGTCGCCGGTTAACCAGATGAGAAGAAAACCCTAGTGAATTTGAATGAAATTTACTTCTCAGATTTCATCCAAACGATCATTTAAAAAACATTTCTCAACGATCAAATCAAGCTTCAATGCATCAGCAGAACAAAAACGATAAAAATTAATGAATAAAAGATGAATTATACCTCTGACGAAGCAATGTCGGGAACCTCCTCCAAGCCATTGCTTTTTGCTTTGCACTCGCCACATAAACTGATGAATCCCTAAAACAAAAAAGGGCAAATTACATATACATCCCTCCAGGTTTGGTTAAATTACAGATACCCCTGAGGTTTCGGAAATTACATCCCGCCCCCTGAGGTTTGTATTTTCATAACAATTTACCCCCTGAGGTTTATATTTCATAACAAATTACCCCCTAATTTCTTATGCAAATATAGCATTCAGGGGGGAATTCGTAATTTCTCAAACCTCAGGGGGGGTATCTGTAATTTTGTCAAACCTGGAGGGGTGTATATGTAATTTGCCCTACAAAAAATTATTCAGTGCCTTTGTTTTGAGCTTTTTAGATTAAATTTTTTGAAAATTAATTTTTTTTTGTTTTCGTGGTTTTTTTTAATGAAATATTTTTAAATATTTTTTATTTTAATTTTTTTAGATACACTTTACTTAAAATTTATTAAAAAAATAAAAAATTATGAAAAAATATTTTAAAAAATTAATTAAATACAAAAAATAATATAAAAAAAATGTACTGAAATCTCCTTTTTTTTTTTGTATTTTTAGTATTTAGTGGATTTTTTAAAGGTTTTTTTCAAAAAAATTATTTTTTAAATAATTTTATGTTAGGTATGTCTAAAAGTAAAAAAAAAAATTTGTTATAAAATATTAAAAAATTAGTAAAAATAAAAAATACAAAAAATAGAAAAGTAAATTTTCTGATAATGTTTTTTGGAAAAATGAAAACCAAACAAATTGATTTTTTCCAACCTATTGGAAAACGAGTACCCTCTTTCAATTTTGAAAATTTACAATTTGAACACTTTCAAAAAAATTATTTTTTTATTTTTAATGAATTTTTTAATATTTTAAATAATTTTTTTTAATTTTTAAAACACTTAAATAATACACTTAAAAAGTATATATATTTATTAAAAAAATTAAAAGTTTACTAAATATCAAAAATCATAAAATATAAAAAATTCAATATATTTTTTATATTTTTGTGTATTTATAATTTTAAAAATATTTTTTCACAAATATTTTATTATTTAGATACATCTAAGTAAGGTACATTTTAAAAAGTAAAAAATGTACTAAAAATTTTAAAAATATTCACTAAAAACAAAAAAATACCAAAAAAAAAACACTATTTCCAGAAAACTGAATTTAAAAAATTGAAATTAAACACACTAAATAATTCTTATAATTTTAACGTAATTGTATAAAAAAAGTTTAATAAGACTAAATGGATCAGAATTAGTGACTAAAAAGATAAAGATAGAGAATGTAAAATATATATTTTAAGCGTAAAATAAATTATAATATCATTTTTATATTTATATAATTAATATATTTTTCAATAATGCTACATTTATCGAATTTGAACTCGTCCGAATTGTCTGAATTTGTGCATATCATTTTTATATTTTTCATTGAAAACATTAAAATATGAAAAATAAAAAGTAGAATTTTTTGAAAATTATTTTTTGAAAAACAGAATCAAATTGCCTAAATTTTATTGGAAGACGAGTACCTCCAATTTTGAAAAAAAAATTAGTTTTCTCATATTTGAATTTTTTTTTTCTATTTTTAGTGAATATTTTTAAATTTTAAGCAATTTTTTACTTTTTTTAGTTGCACCTTACTTAAATGTATCTAACTAGTAAAACATTTATGAAAAAATATTTTAAAAAATTAATAAATACAGAAAAATACGAAAAATATATTGAATTTTAGTAATTGTTTTGTATTTTTGACATTTAGTGAATTTTTTAAAGATTTTTTCACAAATATTATATTTTTTAGGTGCATTTATATTAGGTGTGCTAAAAAAATAAAATATTTAAATATTTAAAAAAATTCATTGAAAACAAAAAAAAATACGAAAAATAAAAAAGTAAAATTTTTTGAATAGTATTTTCTAAAAACTAAAACCAAACAACTTGAATAGCTCTTATAATTTTAACGTAATTGTATAAAAAAAAAATTAATAAGACTAAATATGGATCAGAATTAGTGTGTAAAAATATAAAGATAGACAATGTAAAATATATATTTAAGCGCAAAATAAATTATAATATTATTTTTTTATCTATATAATTAATATATTTTTTTAATAATGTTACATCTATCGAATTTGAACTCGTCCAAATTTTCAAAATTTGTGCACATCGATCGTCCGACAGACCATTCAGGCGGATGTGGTTGATAGACTGGTTGATAAAGATAACAACCATGATTGACAAGGGTGACAATAATCGTCTGACCGATCATGTGACTATATCATTCCGGCGAAATCTGGATTTCCTCTATTTTGGTTGGCCAAATATTTTTTTATATTTGTATGATAAAAAGATCATAACGTAATTAAACTTCCCGCCCTAATCCATCTTTGGGTGGGATTCTATGTGAAATTCACTAAGATGCATTTGATAAGCGATTTTAATTCGGTGGATACTTAATAAAATAATGATAGTGATCTAATATGGTACTTCAAAGTAGGGTTGACATTTTATTTTAATTATTTTTTTTTTAAGATAGTAAAGTTAGGATTAACATTAAAAGTTAAAAAAATAAGTAATAAAATGACATTAAATTAACATATATATTAGTGTTCTACCCGTATTATATGCATGGATTGTGTTTGAATACTTTTATATTTTGTGTAAATTTAGTTTTAATATATCAATTTTTAGTGAAAAAGTTTATGGTGTGCACCCCATATGCACCCTACACAATTGGCGTAATTTCTTAGAAATTTTTATAATATCAATTATAAAATGTGTAATTTCGTAACAAATTAGCTTAACAAAATATTTAAATTTTTGTAGTTCATATAACAAAAATTTGTAGCATGATTATGACATTTTTTTGTTATGTCAATTTGTGACGAGATTATATATTTTGTGATTAATATTATAAATTTTATGATAAAATTATGTCAATTTATAATAGGGTGCGTACGATATACATCCTCTTAAGGCCCCGTTTGTTTTGTGGTGTAATAGATGGGAGGGGATTAGGATGGAGGTCGGGTTATTTAGTATTGTGTTTGTTTGTAGAGTTGGGGAAGTGATTAGGATGGAGGAGGAGATTGAGATGGAGGTTGGAAGGAGGATTCAGATGGAGAAGGTAGAGGTGGTATTACAAAAATAGTGAGCGGATTAGAAATTTTTTTATTTTTTACATATTGGGAATTTTTTTTAAACATTAATGTTTAATTTTTTATATTTTTTTATTTGTTTTATTATTTTATATAAAAATAATTTAACAATTCTTACACTAACAACTATTATAAAAACAAATACAATTTTACTTAATTCTCTTACTATTAAGGGTTGTTTGAGATGATTTAAATAAGTGCACTTTTTTATTTTTTTTTACGAAAAGATGTGCAGAAAAATAGAGAGGTGATGTGATGGAAAAAAGATAAAAAGATAGATTATATAGGGGATGCCAAACCACCCTTTAATCCTCTCACTATGAATCCCCTCCATTCTACCTCTAAAAACAAACGAAACCTAAGAGTGCACACCATAAGGTTTCCTTTTTTGGGAGGTTAGTTAAAATTAAAATTAAACTAAGTTTGTATATATTATATTAGTAAGCAAATCAATTTTAATTTTCTATATAACTGTTCATTGGTTTGATTCTAAAGCGTCAACTTAAACTAAACCGGCTCATGTGTACACCTAGCTAGGAGTAATGCACGCATGCTGCATTATTGTTAAAATATTGAAAAATGTCTCGTAACTCAAATTTTATGGTTTAAAAGTGGTTCAAATGGTCAAAACGACATCGTTTTGGCCATTTTTATGATATTATACGATGAACGACAAACTTCATAATGTTAACCGATGATAGAAAGTTTTAAACCTGCTTAATCCAAAACATTTCTTTTTATATATTTGGGTAAATTACACTGACACCCCTTGAGATTTATCTTTATTACAGTTTCACCCCTCATCTTTTAGAAATTACATCTCCCCCATTGAAGTTTAAAATTTCATTACAGATTCCTCCCTTAGCCTTTTTAATTTTTTTAAATACCAATTTTACCCTCATTTGGTAAACTACATTGACACCCCACACCTTTTAGAAATTACAATCCACTCCCTAAGGTTTAAAGTAGCATTACCAATTGCCCCTCGGTTAGTATTAGTTGGAAAAAAAATTCATTGAAAAAAAAATTCATTGAAAAAAAAATTAATTGGAAAAAATATAATTGAAAAAAAAAATTAATTGGAAAAAAAAATTGTTAGTGAATTTTTTAAATTTTTATTTAAAAACAAACGTAAACTCATTTTTTGAATTTACGTTTTTTCCTCAAATTTACATACTGAGACAATCGTTTATAAACCAAAAAAATTATCAAATAAGTTTTTATGATAGTTTTTAAAATTTTTGTAAATATAAATTGAAAACTGGAAACGAAATGGTTACTAAACAGGTCTCAGATGGTAAAAATATCGTAAAATTAACAAATATTTAAATGAGTTACCAACGCAAGAAATGACTTATCAAAAGATTCTTAGGCTATGTATGATTTGAATTTTAGAATTTTTTTTAAATTAAAAATTAATTTGGTTAAGAAATAAAAAATAAAAAAATAATTTTCATTTCATTTAAAAAATAATTTTTATTTGGTTTAAGAAATAGCCTAAGAATCTTTTGATAAATCATTTCTTACGTTGGTAACTTATTTAATTATTTGTTAATTTTACGTCATTTTTACTATCTGAGACTTGTTTGGTAACCATTTCGTTTTCAATTTTCAATTTATATTTACAAAAATTTTGAAAACTGCCATAAAAACTTGTTTGATAATTTTTTTGATTTATAAATGATTTTCTCAGTTTGTAAATTTGAGGAAAAAACATAAATTCAAAAAATGAGTTTACGTCGGTTTTTAAACAAATATTTAAAAATTTTACTAACAAATTTTTTTTTTCAATGATTTTTTTTTCCAACTAATACTAATCGATGTGACAATTAGTAATGCTACTTTAAACCTTATGGAGGGGATTTTAATTTCAAAAATATGAGTGGTGTCA